CAGTTAGCAATAACGAAATAAATCAATAAAACTTCTAATGTGTGTTCTGTGTTTTTTTTTAAAAAAAACACAGACATAACAAATTTTTATATACAAAGTAAGCTATGAAGTCTGTTTATATTTTGATTAATGTAAACTATGTTTTAGGGTGTACTGTGTACTACTTAAAACAGAGGTGGTATTCAGCAGGTTCTGACCAGTTCTGAAGAACCGGTAGTGGAAACTTTGAGTAGTTCAGAGAACCGGCAAATACCACCTCTGACTGGAGATTTTACAGTATCCTTCCCCTGCCATGCCCACCAAGCCACTGCCACAGAACCGGTAGTAAAAAAAATTGAATCCCACCACTGACTAAAAGGATGCTTTGTAGACTTATTTCCACCCCGGAAAATGTTTGTCTTAGCACATCTCCTCTAGTTTATCATCATCGTCTGAATGGGACTCTCAGAAATCAATCCATACCTTACAGGCTTCAGCATTTATTTCATGGCCTGCATTAATTTGAGGTTTTATTTAAAAGGCTTAACACATATGTACAGTATATTCTGCAATGCAAGAATGTTCTTAGGGCATCAATCCATGATTAGATACAGCTTTCTTGGTTTCTATATCTACTCCCCTTCCAGGTGATTTGGTCTCACGAGCAATGCACCACATGCAGTGTTTGACTACCCTTCGTCCTGGCATGAGCCCTGTTCGGCAAACCAGACAACAACAACCACCCATCACCTGGTCCCCCGATGCCCTCCATACTCTCTACTACTTTCTACGCTGCCCTCAGATGGAATCCATGGAGAACCCCAATCTAGATCCACCAAGGATGGCCTTGAGTAATGAACGGTAGGTCTTCCTGTTTGTGCTCCAAAATGACATTTCAAGTTAACAGAGCTTCACTTTGCAGAGCATTTTAAGTCTAGTTTGCTCCATGAATTCCACAGGATCAGCCTTCTCCAGTCGTTTCTGTAGCTTAGCCAGGATATTTTCTTAACTTGGCTAACATGTTGGAACTGGAACTAGAGTGTTACAGAGGAATGGCTGGAAAGAACAGAAGTTTTATTTTCTAGTGTTCCAGGGTTTGTTTGCTTTTTAATGTTTGTTTCTCTGTTCCAGACATGTACAACTTTACTTCCCATAGTTCCTAGCAAATGTTTAAGGTACATAAATAGCTAATATTTTTATAAGAAAACTTTGTGGATCATTTAAAAAATGAGGATATTTTCACAGATTCAGTACTTGTTATAATTTTAATAACTGCTCATTTGTCACTTCTAATTTCTAATTTTCCCCTCTTGCATACTGTTGAGAGTTGTTGATCTAAGCAGATTTCAGATACAAATATTAGATTTTAAGCTTCCCTGAAAAACTCTTCTTTTAGTTGGAGTTGAAACAGAAAGAGGAGAAGGCTTAGTTTGTTTTTTCAAACGGGGTCTCTGGAATATTCCAAAATCAATATACATGCTGCAAAAATATTGGTTGTTTTTAATAAATGTGATATGGAAAATCTTTAAAGCAATGCTTAAAATATATACACATGGGCATTGATTCAGCAGATCAAGTATAATATAATTGTGGGTATCTTAAGAAAGCACTGTTTCAAAGCATTAATTCTACTTATGCTGATCAGAGCAGGCGCATGTGGGAGTGCATTGAATGTGCCCACTGTTCTACTTCCAAGGAATGGATCAATAATATTCCTTTTTTCCTTGTCTGATGTTCTTGGCTCCTGATGCACACCAGAGAATTTCACATGCAGATCCATTTCTCATCTACATGTGGAGCCCTTTCTACATGCAATATGATTTTTAAGCTCAAATACACGTGTAGGTAAATGCAAGCTGGAAAGTAACAAGTTCAGAACAGCATGACTGTTGCTGAATAAAAATCTAACCAGCCTTTGAAAATGGTTTTTAAAAAACCTGTCCTTTTTCACAATAAATCCTGTGCTTTCCATTTGATGTGGCCAGTGGGATATATATACTGCAGAGGATACTATATACACAGATTTCTGTTTGTTTATTTCCAGCAACAGGAAAAAGTAAATTGAGGTTATTTCTGAGTATGCCAGACCCGCAGCATGCTGCATAAAGGCACTGATTCACATACCCTTTCTTGGCAAGGCTATACGAGCCAGCCTTTTTCTTTTTTAACTCTTAGTGCTAAATCAGCTGCAAATTCTGCATTACTCCATTGTGCCTCATTGAGCTTATGAAGTATGCTTTTGAAGGCATTGCAAAACTGGGGGGGGGGATCGGATCTCAGTTTTAAAGCAAAGGAAATAACACTGAAGATCAGCTGCGCTATGATAGGTTGTTTTTTTAGATGCCTGTGAAATCTATTAATGATCGACATTAATATTAATGAACATTAATACAGTCATTTTAAACAGCAAGAAAAGTGATGCACATTTTTGCCATTCCTATCTTTATTTTAACTGGGGAGCATTAGAACAAGCTTCCCCAGTCTGCCACCCGGCAAGGGTATTGGGTTTCAGATCCTGAAGCCTTTCAGAAGCCCAAGACTGCTTCTGATTAATTTTGTGAGAATTTGCTTGCTTATTGCTCTTTCAGTTGGTTATTCATCTTCAAATTCTTTTCAACCTTTTTTTTATTATTTCAGACAGTGGTGCTACTAAATTTGAGGAGAACAGGCAAAAGAGGCCATTAATTCTCTTCTTTTGTTCTTTCTTTTATTTTAGTCTCCTCCTTTTCACCGATTCCAGATCTTTCTTGCTGCCTGTAAAATGATTTCTGTGGACATCTTATCTCTTATCCTTTCCTCTTCCTTGCTAGACACACTCATACACCCTTTGGTGCCCAAACACACAGTGCCAGTTTGAGAAAATAAATATAAGTGACTAAATATATAAAGCCCAGGCTTTATTATGCTATTTAATTGTTACTGCATGGAATCACAGGACTTTCCTTAACTATCTTTTATATTAGAAATGGACATTCTATGTTAAAATCTTCATAAGTTTCGTTAAAAGCCAGCATGTTATAGTAATAAAAATGGCCAAATAAAAATTGGGAAATTAAGCTTTCAAAGCCCCATTCAATCATGAATTTCACACATCCCACTAAGACCCGGTTTGCAGGTCTCAGCCATGCTTTGCAAAGCCATGACTTCTGAATTCAAATGTAATACTAAATGTCAAACGATAGTTTGGATGAATGACTAGGCTAACTTCATCCAATAAGCAAAACAAAGAATCTACATTTTGTTTAATGCACTATGAAAACCCAGCCACCTAATAACTTTCCATGAAATGCGTCCTCTCAGCCTGCTTTACTTCACAGAGTTATTGTGAGGATAAAACTGGAATGATGAAAGGACCACATAAAGCATCTTTGGCAAAAAGACAACTTTTTTAAAAATGTCATAATCACGCCGGACATTGGTTAATCCCAAATCTTGTATTTGTTGCATTCGTACCCCATCTTTCCTTTAGAAGGTCTTAGTAGTATTGTACTGTATAATCACTTTCAGCTTCAAAATTATATTATGAGATATTGTATATACAGAAAAAGTCCATAGTCATCCAAGAACCTCCTAAAAGTGGGGATAGATTTTAATTTTGAACTTCCAGCCCTGAATTTCAAACTTTACTGATGTAGCATATCTACTCACTTCTTATTCCCACCTAACATTGACTTTGTCATGAACCAAATGGTCTGAGAAACATACATCTGAAATCATGCAGAATAACTCTGTTTGTAATTGCTGAGATGGACCTTTTATTTATTGGATTATTTTGTTAAGCAACTTAAATAAGATATATAGGCCTTCACTCCTCAAATCCTTTGAGCTCATTTAGCATAAGTGCTAATACTAGTTACTGAGCTTCATGGCTGGATTGTTATTTAAACCATTGCATTCCCAGTTCAACCACATTGTTTTCCATGTCACTGGAACATATATGGAAAAGTTTCTGAATATAGGGATGTGTTAATTTAAGCACAGATACTAAGAAGGCTGTCTTCCACTGTGGCTTGTACTCATCTGGAGTGGTATTTTGCAACCTGCTGGAATGCTGCACCTGTGTGCTAAAATGTGACCCATTGAGCAAGTCCCTTCTGCCTAAGGGTAATAATATATATAAGGTCCCATCATCAAAGAACATATGTTGGCAGAATCCATAGGTATATGTGTTTCAGTGCCTCTTTGATTTCACAGAGATTCATTACATAGCGGTATATTTTAATATACAAAAAGCAAACAGGTGTAGTTACATCATTGAGTAATTTTGTTACTTTTCCATCACTAATTTTAGCATTATTACATTCTATACAAAAAGAACCTGAATTCATTTTAGGAAATACCAGAAAAGGAAATCCTGTTGTTTTCGGAATCAATATTGGCAGAAGTTTATGAGCTATCCAGTTTGCCAGTATCTAACTTATGTTGCACTATAATCCTTTATGGGGTTCTATCAAACAATTGTAAGCATATATTGATCTGACTTGATACCCATTACATTGGGTGGACTGATTGATAGATGGATGACTATAAGCATTTTGTGTTAGGACTATAAGGAACTGTGCCATCCATCTAGACATACACTGCAAAAGTCAGAAAATGCCAACTTAATGGAAACAGAGCGTAGGATGAAAAACCAGGCAGTGCTGCAAAAAAAGGGAGGGAGCATCTAACTTGAACAAAAGGAATCTTGTTCTAGTTTTCAGACACAGTATGTGTAAGGTTTTGTGGCAATCGGAGTATGGGTCAGAAAGCTGCAAAGCACTTTGATTAGCTGCTGGATCATTGTACCGAATGCATAGTGCAGATTATTGATCTCATTTTTCTTTCCTAGCTTCTGTCTTTTTTTAATATGATGGGACAGTTCCCGTTTGAAAGAGAAGGCTTCCTCTTATTCTTATAACTTTGGTAAAGCATAACTTGAAAAAAATCTGAGAGACTCAATGTCTTATGGTCGTCCAATAGGTCATGGACCTTCCAGGATCCTTATCCTATCTGAACATTTATATTTTAAAACTTTTTTTTTAAAAAAGTGTGAAAATTGGCAAAGCACCGGTCTCTAACATCTTAGTCATGAACAAAAATTCTGTAAGCTGAAAAGTTTAATAAAAGAACAGTTGAAATCCAGTTTAGGAATTTGTCTATGTGCCCAGAAAAAAAAAACCTAAAGAAAAGCAAGACCAGTAGCAGGATCATAACTAGTTACAAATTGGAACACTTTGATGATTAATATTTCATATGGCAAGACATGACTAGGCAAAGTTCTCCAGCAGCCATTTTGCAAAAGACCCACAAAAGGCCCATCGGCCTAAGGAAGTTGGAGACGACTAACTTAAGGCCTGCTAACTACCGAAAAAGCATTTAAATATACAGTTTAGGTATTAATAATTTATTTTTAAAAAATTAGGATTTAACTGAGTTCAAGGGAGAGTAATACTAGTTTATATTCTGGGATATTAAGTGGCTTTGAGATAAAAGCTTTAAACTGAATACAGTAAAGCTATTGTAAAAGCATCTTTTTTTTACTTTTCCTAAATGGCATCCTATTAGTAAACCATCGCTTTACTTTAAATATGTACATTAAGTTGCACTCAGTACTTCAAGGAGCTATTGAGATCTTCTACTATATCCTTGTAAATAAATGAACAAAATTGGGGAGAAAGGGAAATCCTTTGACTTTACATAATCTCATTGGTTTGATTAGCATTTTTTCTTTAGAGAGATGAATCTGTGCAGTTTTAACATATGATTGTTTTGTGACATTATTTTTATTTTTAGAAGGAAATCAGGTAGTCACCTTTAGTGACTAACAATTTTTATTAAAAGGCATAAGCTTTTGAGAATTACAGCTCACTTCTTTAGAT